TTCTTCCTCTTTTGTTAATATTTTTTCACACGATCCCATTATCTGTAAAATAAGATGTTTAATATGTAGAGATAGTTCCTATTATAATGTTTCATTTTAGTTTGCTCTGCTGTCTTTTTGTCACTCTCATAAAATTTGTTTGTACTGTATGGTAACTGACCAAGAAGGCTATTGGGAAGAGATTTCTGGTGTGATGCATAGTGTAGTTTCTTGTGAGATAACAGCTAATAATAATATTTATCCAAGGTTGCCTATAATCTTCTCTCCCCTCTGTGCCCATGTCTTTTTCATTTATGTTTAACAAATGAGTGCTAAGAATGTACCTTGCAAATTTCCTGAATCATGAGATATTTAAAAAGTTATATAAATTTTAAACAAATAAAAAAAGTTGTTGGTATAATGAGGTGAATCTATTCTGAGACTATAGCTGGATTAATGAAAATCAGAGAACTGGGTTTTTTTTTTTGGTTTGGGTTGTTGTTTTTTTTGTTTTTTGTTAGTTTGGTTTTTTTTTTGTTTTTGAGAATCAGTATAATTTACAAGCCCATTGTCGATGGAAGAAAGATCTAAACCTGTAGAGGTTTTTTAGAAGAGTTTATTTGTGCCAAACTGATGATGTGTCGGGATGCAAGATCTCAAATGCCCTGGAGAATGACAATTTTGTGGTTTCTTTTATACATTTGGAATTAAGAAGGGGATGTAAGGAAGATTACATGAAGATGGGAGAAAGCAAGGTACAGCATATTTAATAAGAATCTGTTCTCCCTTGAGGGAGGTTATGCCTTCAAGGAGTCTGGAAAAGAGGATCACTTTTGGCATTTCAAAGGTGTGTTAACCTAGATTAACAGAAATGATAGACAACCCTGCTTAAAAATCTTTTAGTAAAGAAGTTATAGGACTGGGCCTGACTCTCCATCACAGATCACCTTGTGAAGTTACTTTTGATTAGATTTATTATAGAACCCCTTTTTCATTCACGCCATATAGTTGACATAAATATTTGCCTTTGCCATAGACTACAGAGCTCTAACCTATTTTTATTTTTATTTTCTCAACAACCTAATTAGAGGTAATTTTATAATTATCTTTAAAAGATAATAATGGAACATTTTCAAGGATAAATTTTAATGTCAATTCTTGCTTTTTAAGTTTTTATTTTTAAATATAATTCCAAATATATCACAGAATTTGGATTGTTTGGAACTTTATTATTAATCATTGCTTGGTGGAAATTTTTTAAAGGATTTGGTTTTTTTGTTTGTTTGTTTTTTGGGTTTTTTTTTTAGAACATTTCAGTGAGAAATGATTCCAAAAGCTATAACAATGATTTTATAACTAATATTTTCCTAATAGCACACTTCAGAAGCAAGTGAAAAGCCAAAGAATAGGAACTCCAACAAAGAATAATTACAGAAGGGGAAAACAACAGTGGAGAGTCATAAAGTTAAGGAAATTCACCAAGAACAAGTAAATTACTTATGAAAAAGTAGATAGCAACCTAATAGTTAGAATTATCTTTAAACTTAACTTTTGAAAATAAGAAAATGAAAAGTTTTTGCTACCTGCTTTATGTTTTTTTGTTTGTTGTTCGCTTACACAAATATATGTTTAAAGTAAAAATTGGAAAAAGGTGTACCATGAAAACTGCAATGCAAGAAAACTAAAGTGGCAATGCTAATCTCAGATGGCTCTAAAGATAAGACATACTGTCAGAATCAAAGAGCTTCATGTCATAATGATTAAAGGTTCAGATCATCAGGAGGACAGAGCAATCATACATGTGGATGGCCTGCCTGTTTATGGAATCTGTAATATATGATGCAAAATCTTCAGACTAAATAAAATAAATTCACAACCATAAAGATTTTTAACTCTCTTCTCTCAATAATTGATAAAACAACTAAGCAAAACCAGAAAAGTTCCAAAAAATGTAAACACCATTATCAACTTCTGTAACCTGACATGTGTAGAATTCTACAATTAACAACAAAATTCTACCTTCTTTTCAAATTCATGTGAAAGGACCATTACTAAGAGAGTGTATGCTGTGTCATAAAATAGTCTCAATAAATTTTAAAGGTAGACGTCTATGGAATACATTTTTTTTGAGAACAATGGAATTAAATTAGGAATCAAGAATGATAAAATAACTAGAAAACCATTATATATTTTGAAATGAAACAACCAACTTCTCTATGTCCCATGGATTAGTTTAGAAACCTCTGTGGAAATTTTGAAGTGTGTTAAATGAAATGATTAAAATCATAATAAATAAAAATTTGTGAGATATAGCTGAAACCATGTTTAGAGGGGGATCGATAGCTTTAAAAGTTTAAATGTGAACAAAGTGTTATAACTGATTTTTAAAAAGACTATAGAAGAAAAAAATAAGGAACTCAACTTGTTAATATCAGCAACAAACCAAGGGAGTAAAAATCACTACAAATTCTAAAGACATTAAAAAGATAATAAGGGGATATTATAAACAACAATGTGGAAATAAATATGACAATACAGATGAGTAGCAAAACACAAATACCTTGAAAAATAAAATTTTCAAAGTGAACCAAAAGAAATAGATTTTATTATTAAATGAAGAACAACAAAAACAACTCTACAAAGAAAAATCTAAACCCAGTAGGTTTTACTAGTAAATTCTATCAAATATATAAGAAATACTTAAGACTAATATTATGCAAAAAAATTCAGGAGATAGAAGAACAAGGTATGCTTCTCAGCTTATTCAGCGTGGTCAGCATAATCCTATAACAAACATCTGGCAAAATCATTCAAGTGAAAGGAAATTACAGAAAAAAATTATCCTTATAAATATATAGATACAAAAGCCTTTTAAAATTAATAAATTTCAGCAATATATAAATATTATAGAAACACATGTTTTGTTTAGCATTCAAAAACCAATTAATGCAGTTCACCATATCAATGAACTAAAAGACAACCATGTATATGATCATGTTAATAGTTGAAGAAAACACATTTACAAAAAATGAACATCAGTTTATGGTTAAAAAGAAAAAAAAATAACTAAACTAAACACACTAGTAGTAGAAGGAGACTTTTATGCCTACAGCTAATATTTATACTTAATGGCACAAAACTGAAGCTTCTCCCTAATATTATTAGCAAGGCAGGAGTGTCTACTCTCATGACTTTTAATGAATATTGGCTGGAGGTCCTGGCTAGAAAAAAGGCAAGAAAAAACATCAAAATTGATTAAAAAAAAGCAAAAAACAAAACAAAAAAACATAAATATTGGAAGAAAAGGTAAAACTATCTCTATCTGCAGGTGACATGCTTGTTTATATGATACCCCTAAGGAATCCACAGAAAAGTTAATAATAAACCTAGTAGGAATAAGGGAATTTAGCAAGTTTGAGGGATAAAGGTTTATAATAAAATTATGTATTGCCCTGTAGCACATTATCCAGTGGCCTAAAACACCACACATTTGTTATCTCGTAGCTTCTGTGGTCAGGAATTTGAGAGCAGCTTATATGTGGTTCCAGCTGACGGCCTCTAATGAGGTTGTACTCAAGATGTCAGCCATGGCTGCAGTCCTATAGAAGGGTGACTGGACTTGAGAATTCACTTGCCAGGCCATTCATATTCTGCGGCAGGAGGATTCAGTTCTTTACTGCTGGTGGGCAGAGCCTGTTATTACTGAGTGGGCCTCTTCAGTGGGGATCATGGCAGCTAGCTTCCTCCACAGCATGCAACACAAGAGAGAGAGCAGGACTAAATGCATGACGTCCTCTATGACAGTCTCAGAAGTAACTAACGTACCATCACTTTTGTGAAGTTTGTCACCACAACAACCTGGATTCAGTGTGGGAATGCACTATATAGAGATCTGGTTACCAGGAGGTGGCGCCTTTGTAGTCCTTCCTTGAGGCTGCCTTTCACACTCCACCCTCTGGCCCTCAATGGTGCATCCTTCACAGTGCAAAGCACACTTACCCATCCTGAGGCCACCCAAAGTACCGTTCCATTGCAGCATCCGCTAGAAGGACAGAATTCCATCACCCAAAGCATGTGCAGTTGTGGACGAGGCTTAAGGACAGTGACTCAAGTAGTTCTCCATTTGAAGTCTTGTGAACTGATGCATAGGGTAGCAGGTTTTTGCTTAGGACTTAAAGCCTGAGGATAGTTTTCCATGGCTTTTCGTTCCTGTCTCTATACCTGTTCTGCCCTCCTAGTCGTTCTTTCTTCTCTTGTAAATTAGCACATGTTTGCAGCTGAATAGTCATCCCATCCTTATTTGTGCTTTTTAGACATTGGGATCCAAAAGCCCGGCTTTGTGCTGTCTCTTTCCCTTTAAATCCAAACTGCCAAGTGTTTCTATAAATATGCAGGTCTCTTGTAAACCTCCTTAGGGATCCATTTCATTAGACAAAGCCACACCCATAAATCTCTTCACAGTAAGCCCTTCTTAACTGGAAATAGCTGATGGACAATGCTTTGAACTTCTACAATTTTGGTTGTTTGGCTAAGAGGATTTGTGAGCCATACCCTAAAACCTTCAATTGAAAGTACTTTTGGTCTCACTGAATTAGGTACTTACTATGCAGCATTGCTTTTCATCTTTCAGGATAGCTCTACATATACTAAATACGTTTCTAAGGCTATGAAAAATATTTACATCTGGATTGGTGTATTTGTTGCATAGGTTTACATGTTAATAAAGCTCATCAAATTGTACGCTTAACATGACAACACATAGATTTCATCACATAACTGATAGCATCACTGGCAATAATGCCCACTTGTGGAATTTCTGTTCTTCCCTTGGGAAACTGGTACATGAACTATGACCGTTTATCATGCAGACCCTGTTAGGGCACTACTGTGAATTCTTACAATATTTTTTTCTCACTTTTAGAATAACAAGTTAAAAAAAAATTAGCAGTGTAACCGTCTTCATACATAGCAATGGATCCCGTTACATACTCCCTGAAGAAACGTGCGGTCTTAGAGCCACTGAGAATGGATAGGTTTCTGAGTAAGAATATTCCGCCTACATGAGGAATGTAGCCTGGCTTTTTGTGAAGCAATGAAATTTCATCTGGAAAACAGACACGAAGGGAAGGGAACTGTAATTCCATGGCTCCTTTGCTATGTAAGCAACCTTAACTTTCAACAGTCTTCTGGGAGAGATTAGAAAAGTGAGTGAAAAATTGTTCCCTAAACCCCAGACCCATTTCATTCACACACAGTTCCACTGGAGGAGGCGTGTCAGGGAGGTAAAAACCACAGGTGTTGGGAGTCGTCAAGCTCTGGGTGTGCTTCTTACTTCTGCCACTTAATAGCTGCTACAAATTGATGAAGGTTTTTGTGTCTCCATTTCATCATAGGCAACATTACTATCTCATAGGGTTATTTGAACAATTAAACAGTAAAATGTAAATAACAGGTTATCACGGTGGGAGTGTGGGGTGAGCACTCCTGAGTTACTGCAATGATCTTCGTGTGATTATTATGGGCTGTGTTTAGCTAAGTGGAAAATATTCAAATTTCTTAAACACTTGGAAATACATCCGTAAATGTTCTTTAATAGGACAAAGTATAGTATTTATTGAATAATAATTCAATATCAGTAATTGTTAATAAAGGCTATCCTGACTGTAATTAAAAGTAAGAATACCATTGTCATTTATGCTTTTCTGGGCTTTAACTTGCGGCAGCACATTTGACCTGACATTCCTTGGCAAGAGCGCTACTACATGTCAATTGAATTTCCTGTTTACAGTCAATACATAAGAAAGGTTTTCCCAAGTTAGAAATCATGAAATCATGATAACTATGATGGTAGTAGTTGAGAAAGAGAGAAGTGAAAAGATGTGTGACTGTTTTTTGGAAGTAATACCAACAGTGCTTCCTGGTGAATTGGACTTGGGTGATGACAGAGAGAGAGAGAGAGGGGGAGGGAGAGAGGGAGAGAGAGGGGGAGGGAGAGAACTGAGAGCTTTAGTTTGAGTAACAGGCCAATATTATTGCCGTTTTCTGAGACTGGGAAGACTAGGGAAGCAGCCGCCTGTGTGAGGCAGGAAGAGATTAACAGTTCTGTTTGGCTAGGTTAGGTTAGGGTTGAGATGCTTATTTACAGCTGCAAGTGTATGTGTCAAGTAGAAATTTGAATCAATGTGTGTATAAATAAACTCAGAAAGAACAGGGTTGAGTATCCATGATTATATAGATTCAGTTTAAAGCTATGGAAGACAGAACTTATATCTAAAACCAGGGTGTATGCTCCAGTGTTCAATGATCAGAAAAATCAAGATAAAAGAATGTCCAATAAGATGGGAAGAACACTAAAAATGTAGTGTCCGGAAGCCAAGAAAAAATGTGCTTCAAGAAAGCCAGCTTACGGAGTGGTGCTGAGAAGTATG